CCCCAAAACCCCAAAACCCCAAAACCCCAAAACCCCTTTTGCATACTTGAGTATTGAAAGAAAATAATTATTGGGAATCAAAACTTGTTGCAAACCTACATGTTCTTCTCAATTTCTTGTAAGGATGAAATCATCTTCATGATTCGGGCTTTAGGGATTGATGACTCCTTCTGATTGAAATCAGGAGAACTAGTCGGCCATCCTACAAGATGTATTAGCTCTAATAAAAGAGAAAAAACTTACTGTTAAAGATATCATTTCCATCACTTTGTTTGTCTGCAGATGAGGCTTTGTGACCTCCTAAGAGATCCGCAGTGATAAATTTGGATTTTTCTTTAGCAACTTTGGTAATAGGGGAAGAGCTCTTTACTGTCAATAAGTCTTTGAAGACTTTAGGCCCAGAGAAAATATCAGGATTTACAATAGTGCCTCTCCTAAGCTTCTTCTTTTTCTTTTTGTTTTTTAATCCCTGACTGTTTCTAGGCTACGAGATCAGCATTTTGGATACCTTTAAGTTTAGTCTGGTGTCTAAGGAATCTGAGTTTAAAGCAACTGAGGAGGTACATCTAGAAGCCGGAATGTTATAAATCAGCAGAATTAGTACCACTTACGCATCACTGTTCTTTTTCTCCATTTCTAGATCCTCGCTTTGGCAAAGATTTAAATTGAGCTATAAATATTAACAAATTACGTAAATTATTAAAGAAACTTATCAGAATCATGAAAGCTTGGTAGGATTTCACCAAAAGGGAGATTTCAGCTTCAAACTTACGAATTTTTCAATTCCAACATCTCCGTCACATTCGTGTGGATCTTCCTTGATCTCATCTATGAGTTTATTAGCAGACTGGGGTAAAGGATTAATTAATAGGCACTTACCTGTTTGGGAGAAAAAGTTGTACATAGAATCTTTCTTTAATTTGAATGAACTCTAACAAATTTGAAACAACATTTACCGACAAGGACTTCATTTCAATCGGTAAAGAGTTAACTCACTCAGAGATCTTCCTTGGATTTACGATTTGTTTCATCTTTTGATCCTAAACCCAAAATTTTAAATCTCCAAAACCATCAAATTCTTGACACAAATCCCTCATTTCCATCTCTATACCCCACACCACCACCATACCATGTCAAAATACTCTTTCTGGCTACTTTGGTCCCACGTTACCATTCTATCATTCCTTTTCTTCCCCTTAATTTTTCTTCTCTATACCAAAAATCTATCAAAATCCTCTCTAATCCCCCAAATCCTTCCTATCCCACTCCCAGTAACCTCAGATGCCTAAACTCCTTACAGCTTTTACTGATTTTCTTCTTGGCGGGGAGGATTCTCCAGTGACATGGTCGGCCAAATCGACTAATCTCTTAGTCATTTCTTTAAAGTCTTCGTCAACTTTGACGTTGTTCAGGTTGGCTATTAGGGTGAGATGGAAATTTTGGAAGGGAGAGGGTAAAGGAGGTGGGGACTTACAGCCATGGCTGATGTCGAGGCGTTGGAAAGAGCACCTGAGATTGGGTTAGAGGGGGGTTACTTGGGGAATGGGAGGAAAAGTGGATATGTTGGTAGATTATCCGACTCTATTGGTTGATTTATGATAATTCTGAGATCCTCATCGGGTTCTATGATTGCAGTTTTGTAACGGATGAATAACTTGTTAACAACGATTTTAAATGGATGCTTAAAAATGAACAAAACATACTTAAAAAGACTTAAGTTACTTTAAAAATGCATTTGAGGCAGATAGTTCAACCGATCATCTCAATGTTTCAGAGTTTTAAAAACATCCAATGCATCAAAATGTTGTAAAAACTACCCTCTATTTAACCTCAGTTATTTATCAAATTGTGTATACTTCAAAATTCGATATAATCTAGATAATTAAATCTCTGAATCAGTGGATCTAACAGAAATGGGTGAACCATCTTATGGGAAGAATTCTGCTGAAAAGATGGCTTACTCATGATCCTGTCTCATATAGTCTTGAGTGATTCATATCCTCGCTCCATCTGATCGTCCATAATTCCTGTCTGCTCAGGACGAGTGTTCTTTATGTGGTCACAAAGGTTCAGATTAGCGGTCTGTTTCATCATTAGATCATATAAAGCTTCTCCACCTCTTTGAGAAGAATGTGATTTGGTCTCCCTTTTCTGTGTGAAATCAGCTGGTAACTCTGTGATGTTCTGAATAGACCAGCTTCTGAAGAATTTTGGATGCTTAAAACTTCACAGTTCCTATACGATCCTGTTAGAAATTCTTTGAATGGCTTAATAAAATTTGGAGAACTTTAGGAAGACATATTCCTATCGAGAACCATTCTAAAATTAGACGATAATAGTATTGGTCATCTAAGCTTTTCAAATGTGCTTACTTTGGGAACTATGACACCTTCTCTTTGTAACTGGCTTGGAGACGAAGCTCCTGTGTTGTCACAGGAGAAATATTCCTCGTCAGGGTCAAGGTTGAGTGAACTGTCACCAAACTCCTCTCTAAGAAAAATGTTATTAGAAGGCTTACTCATCATTTTCAAAGGATTTTGAACCTGACTTATCTCTGCAATATTTCAGCAGTCTTGGCAAGCTATCATCACTAGAGGCTATATAGGGTAAGGTAGAGTACTTACATCCTGAGATAGCACTTTCTGGTATCTTTGAGATCCTTTGTTTCCTCTTCCTTGGTTTTACTGCCTTTAGCAAATACAGCCTATAGGTTAAATATTAACATAAAAATCTCTTGGTGGAGGAATGTACTTTTGGAGAATTTAAAATATTTTCATAAAATATTCTTATCCCAAGAGCTGCTTAAGTTCTAAAGAACTCAATAAGAAATAAATGGGGAATCGTCAGATTGCATCATTAGGCATACGTGCTTCCTATCATTGCTCTTGGAACTATCCACTGATAAAAATTATCAAAAACACTGAAGTAAAATTTATCTTTAGAATAGGTGATATATAATTTAATGCTGAGTAGTAGCATATTTCTCCATTAAGCCTGGCACTTAACCTAAACTAGATTTAGATTTAAGGTCCCATAAGTTGATCCGATTTCAAAATTTTGACAAAACGAAGGATTCCTATTGATACAGCCATCAGATTCGAATAGGGGGATCTCGTCAGAAAGGTTGATACTCCTAACAAGGAATCCTGACATTTAGGGTTTCTTGTAAGGACTCTACTTTATATAGGAATTCCGGAGAATATCTTGAGCTATCGCTAAATCATCAAAAATTCTAATTTAAAAGCAGCTGTTGTGACAGACTTTATCTGGCAGCCCAGGTGGGATCTCTGTAAGGCTTTGCTAAATTTTGTCTCAAAGAGACCTTTAGGGCTAAACCAGAATGTTCTACTGATGGTCTTTGATTATAAGATCTCAACTTGTCCTTCAAGTTTCAGCTAATTTAGTGGGATCACCCATGAGTAGGTTTTTTGAATTTGAACGTAAATTTATGAGAAACTTTTGTAAAGTTTAATGCCTTTGATCAAAGAGACAGCATGCTTACGCATTCAAAGATACTTATTGCAAATTACTCGTCAGGGGTTGAAACATGGGTGATTTGTTATGAAAAAATTCAGACCAAAGCTATGCTATTTTTATGGTACTTTATTGATAAAACCTTTTCAGGCAGGTTAGGACTAATCTGTAGTGTTATTTACCTGGTCTTTGAGACTGAATCGGCAGCTTCAGTCTTTGGTTTAGCTGAACTCAAGTGTTGATCGTTCATATTGGCAGTTTGATAATTATTGCTAAATAAATTCCAATTTGGCTTTAAGAGATAGGGGTTTTGGGGTTTTGGGGTTTTGGGGTTTTGGGGTTTTGGGGTTTTGGGG